AAATTTTTACCTCTAAAAGTATTTATTTTTATTTGTAATTTTCTGCTGATACACATTTTTTGATGTTACCGACAGTAAAATGAAAAACTATTGTGAAAAACAAATTCTCCAAGTAAAATTTAAAATTACGTCATCGTCGAAGAGCGAAACGTCAAACTCGTCAAAAATGTCAGAAATATTGAAATAAGAGAAGTTTACTGTCTCGCACTAACCATACACAAATAAAGACAAGCAGTAACCTTATTAGGGCAATTCTTATTTTCAGACCCAAATGCGCATGCGTAAAAATCAAAATAAGGATAATTTAAATACTGCTTGTCCTTATTGCACGTCCAATAACTAACCCTAACCCTATTTTCTTTTTGAAAAAAACGTCACTCTTAGTCAATTTGTGACAACTGTAAGTTGATAATTTGACAACTACTCAAGCATCAAAAATCTATTCTATCTGTATCTTTCTCTTGCCCATTGAATTTTGCATACCACAATCTTTATCTTATATATCTGATTATTCTCAGGCTCTTGATTGGATAGTCATAAAAACTTCGGACCACTCAAGCGCCAGGAATAATTTTATTTACTTATGTGCCCTACTTTATTTCCATCTCTTTTTCACTCATTGAATTTCTGATATCTCTCTTACCTTATTATTTCAAGCACATATTGACTTGATTATTCCACTACCAAGAATAATTTAAATTTTTATCCTAATTTATTTCCGTCTCTTTTTCTCTTATTGAATTTCTTATACCTTTGTCTTCTTACATTGTTATTCCAGCTTTTTGATATTGGTCAAATACAAAAATTACAAGGCCACTCAAGCGCCGAGAATCATCAAAATTATTGTATTTTATCCATATATCTATCAGTTTCTTACTCATTGAGTTTTTATTTCTCTGTCTTGTTTTTCTTACTTGATTATTCCAGACTTTTTATTGATCAAACACAAAAAGTATAGACCACTCCAAGTGCGGGGAATAATTTAAATTTATTTCCTACTTTATTTCCGTTTCTTTTCCACTCATTGAATTTTTTATATCTTATTTGTTTCTTACATTGTTATTACAGGCTCTTTATTGGTCAGACACAAAAAGTACAAGCCGCTCAAGCACTGGAAATAATTAGAAATTGTTTTTTACTTTATTACCGTCTCTTTTTCACTCATTGAATTTCTTATATGTATCTTTATTTCTTACACTGTTATTACAGGCTTCTGATTGATCAATAATTAGGCACAAAAAATCCAGATCACTCAAGACTCAAGCGCCGGGAAAAATTTAAATTTGCTTCCTACTTTATTTCCGTCTTTTTTTCACTCATTGAATTTCTTATATCTTCATCTCTTACATTGTTATTACAGGCTTTTCATTGGACAGACCCAAAAAATATAGATCACTCAAAAGCCGGAAATACTTTAAAATTGTATCCTACTTTATTTCCGTTTCTTTTCAACTCATTAAATTATTTACATCTTTTGTCTCTTACATTGGTATTACAGGCTTTTTATCGATCAGACACAAAAAGCATGGGACACTCAAGTGCCGGGAATAATTTAAATTAGTGGTTTTCCTATTGTATTTCCGTCTCTTTTTTACTCATTGAATTTTTCATATCTTTGTCTTTTACTAGGTTATTATAGGTTTTTTTTTATTGGACAGACACAAACACTACGGACCACTCAAGCGCCGGGAATATTTTAAATTTATGTTCTACTTTATTTCCGTCTCTTTTTAACTCATTGAATTTCTTAAAACTTTATCTCTTAAATTATTATTACAGGCTTTTGACTGTTTAAATTATTTCCACAATTTTTTTTTTTTCATCATTTTCTTACTCATTAAATTTCCTATACCTATACTTCTTTTTCTCATTTGATTATCTCAGACTTTTTATTGGTCAGACACAAAAGTATAGACCACTCAAGCGCCGGGAAAAATACCGTTTCGTTTCCACTCATTGAATTTCTTATATTTCTATATATTTCTTACATTGTTACTACAGACTCTCCATTGGTTAGACACAAAATGTGCAGGTCACTTAAGCGCCGGGAATAATTAAAAATTGTATCCTACTTTATTTCCGTCTCTTTTTCACTCATTAAATTTCCTATAACTTTATCTTCATGCTGTTATTACGGATTTTCTAGTGATCAGTCACAAAAAGAACAGACCACTCAAGCGCCGGAAATTATCTAAATTTTTAGCCTACTTTATTTCCGTCTCTTTTCCACTCATTGAATTTCTTATGTCTTTATCTTTTTGGTTGTTATTACCGGTTTTTTATTGGTAAGACACAAAAATTACAGACTACTCAAGCGCCGAGAATATTTTAAATTTGTTTCCTACTTTATTTCCGTCTTTTTTTTCACTCACTAAATTTCTTATATCTTTATCTCTTACGTTGTTGTTACAGGTTTTTTATTGGTCAGACACAAAAAATACAGACCACTTAAATGCCGGAAATAATTTAAAATTGTATTGTATTTTTGTCTCTTTTTCAGTCATTGAATATCTTATATTTTTATCTCTTTTAGGCTGTTAGTGCAGGTTTTTTATTAGTCAGACATCGAAGGTCAGTCTCAAAAACAACAGACCACTTAAGCGCCGGGAATAATTTAAATTTGTTTCCTACTTTATTTCCGTTTCTTTTCCGCTAATTGAATTTCTTATATCTTTGTTTCTTACATTGTTATTACAGACTCTTCATTGCTCAGACAAAATGTACAATCCACTCAAGCGTCGGGAATAATTAAAATTGTATCCAACTTTATTTCCTTCTCTTTTTTACTCATTGCATTTCTTATATCCTTATCTCTCACATTGTTATTACAGGCTTATTATTGTCAGAATTTTTTTTTTTTCATTTTCTTACTCATTGAATTTCCTATACCTCCATTTTCTTATTTGATTATCTCAGACTTCTTATTGATCAGTCACAAAAAGTACAGACCACTCAAGCGCCGGGAACAATTTGAATTTGTATCCTAATTTTTTTGTTTGTCTCTTTTCCACTCATTGGATTTCTTTCTCTGTTTTTCTTTATTTGTTACATTGTAATTCTATGTTTGTGATTAATGAGACACAGGACGGTATTTCAATGATACCTTAAAATCAAGACTTACCCAAGGTAGCCTTAACTTTAAGATGAACTTGAAATGAGTTCATTCAGGTGGTTTAAGATCCACCTTAAATTAAAGGAACTTTGACATACGTTGCAACTTGTATTAAGGGAGACTTAATGTTATTCTGTACTTTGAGGTGACATTGAAATACCGGCCCTAAAAATCAAATAAGAAAGTGCCCAGCGTTAGTCTAAAATACTAAATTTTAGAATAAAGACCCTGAAGACTCTTGTGAAGATTCTTAAGACTGCAAAAAAACTAAAAAACCCCAATGATTTTAAAGCTTCTGATTTGAAGTCTGCAAAAATCCTAAAGGCTTCAAAGGTTTTGGACTTCACACCCATGTCTTTACTGAAGAATCTGGGAGCTCTCAGACCCATTTGCCAAGATTTTTGAAAAAAGATTAATGAAGTAAAATTCAAAGACTTCAAAAATTCCACGGGTTTAAAAATTATTACTTCGGAAAAAAAACTCCAAAAATTCTAACGATACAACAAATGATTTAAGAGTTTTTGAATGCTCATTTTAGAATTATGCTTTCTGAGGATTCTTCTAACTCAAGTCGTCAATAAATTTAAAGATTTCAAAGGTTCCTGATCTGAAGTCTTCAAAAATCTTGAAGTTTTTAGACATCAAAGAGCCTTTAGTCAAGTCTCATTCTAAAGATTCTAGAGACACAGACACTGAAGACTCTCTAAGGAATCTAAGAGTTTTAAGACCAATATGTCAAAATTTTTAAATAGGTACACAAGATTCTCAAAACAGACGAAAATCCAAAGATTCCAAAGACTTAAATTTCACGACTTCAGAAAAAAGGCCTCGCCTCAAAGATTCTAATAATATCTACGATAATAAAGATCTATAAAATTTTGGGAGTTCTGAGGTCTGAGGACTGTTATCTAAGATCATACTGTCTGAAGATGCAGCTAAACTTAAGAAGTCAAGAAATTTGAAGGTTTCATAAGGGCTTGATTTTAAAGTCTGCAGTGGCTTTGGAGAGTCTCTAAACTTACACAAACAAAGAAGACACAACACTTGAGACTAAAGTCTCTAAAGAATCTGAGAGCTTCAAGGCCCATTTGTTGAGAGTCTTAGAACGAAAGATAATTTGAAGACTTCAAACTTCATAGACTCTAAGGCCTATCATGACTTCAGAAAGATTCTAACATAACAATAATAAAAATTTGAAAGATTTTGAAGCCTCTCAACAAATTTGAGATTAATACTTTCAAAAGAATTTGAAAACTTCAAGAGTTCTTCTAAATTCTAATTTGAAGTTTTCAAAAATCCTAAAGGCTTCCAAGACTTTAGACTATAAAGAGTTTGAAATCACTCTCAAGCGATTCTGAAGACAGAACACTAAAAGAATCTGAGACTCAAGATTTTGTAGTTTCAAGACCTCAGATTTTCTAAATGAAGGAAAATCCAAGGACTTCAAAAATGTTAAGGCTTTAAGATTCATGATTTCGGCAAAAGAATCTTAAGATTTACAAGAATAAAGATTTAACAGATTTTCAAAGCTTTGAAGACTCATATTTTGAAATCATATTCTTTAAAAGTTTTGCCAATTTGAAACTCTAATAAATTTAGAAAAATTTGAGGTTCTGTAAGCTAAGGTTCTTGATGTATCTTCACTTTAACCCCTCTATATTTTTGATTCATAACATCGTTTTTTTTTTTAAGGATGATGCATTCTAAAGAAGAAAAATGTAAAATATTCATAAATCTTGAAGCATTCGCATATTTAATTTATTGAATATGTATAAGTATGCATATTTGACCAATAAAAAGTTGCAAAAGTGACTTCAGGTACTCAAATCAAGTTTTCCTATAATATATTCTCGAGTCATGATTAGTACTTTTTCATTTTCATTTTCAGTTAATCTACGCAATCAGTCTTACAATTAGCAAAACGCAAGCTTACGACGACCCTTCGGGTCCCCAGTACCACATCCAAACCGACGAAGGACCCGAAAGGTACTTTCGATACCAAACTTTGAGCGGCCAGTACCGCAAAGAGAAACGACTCGAAGACGGTACCGTGATTGGTACTTATGCTTGGATAGATGACGATGGTAACTGTTACTTAAATATAATTTTTGTTTTTATATACAATAAATTGTTTAGGTATTCTACGTCAAAGAGACTATATAGCAGACACCGCCGGCTACAGGATTACCAAAAGTAAAAATTTGTTTGTTGGCAAGGCTATGCCTGTGGGAGAGGCTGTTAAGGCTGCTAAAAAGTACCCAGCTTCAGCTGGTACTTTGGTCTCAGCTAAAACTAGACCGGTACCACCTCTAGGTAAGCAAAATAATTTACTTCTACAACTTAGAAGGTTCCTAAAAAATACTTTGAGCCAAATTTGAAGCCGAAATCAATGAAAAAAGGCACTCGATAAGTAATCTGAATAAAAGTCAAGGTTGGACAACATGTTCTAAATTTGAAATTGTTGAGTAAGAGCCTACCGTCGAAAATTGATCATGGGATAAAATTGCCATTAGAGTTTTTTCATTATGCAAAACAAATTGGAAGTTGATATAAAACTCACAACTAAAGTAGCTACTATTTTTATCCATTAATAATTTGATTTATATTTTAGTGACTACAACTCCATCACCACCACCATTACCATCAAGTACAGCTCAGCCATGTGCCTCCTGCTTGCTGACTCCAACCACTTACAAACCAGACGTTTCGTACTTTGTCTCATCCACCCTCAGTCCTCACGTGGAAATTTCCAACAACGCTCTGGCATCTTCCACAAGTTTCCCTGTGGAAAGCAGTACCGTCAAGCCTTATGTGGAGATCAATCATCACGGTATCAGCAGCACTACTGGACTACCCTTAGAATACCTCAAAGGATTACCAAACTATCAAGAACAAGATCAGAATTCTTTGGATTATAATCCATATGTAAATCAGGGGTTGTTTTTCCAAAACGGCCCTACGTACCCTATTGACCGAAACGGACATACTTATAGAGGCAACAAAAGGTACTCAAATCCCAACTACAATAATAAACAATATGACGGAGTATCAGTTACAAACGACGGATTCAGGTACTACATTCCCAGGGCCTACCACGAAGAGCAAATCGGTACCAACAACGAAAAAGAGGGTAGTTTTGGGTACATTGACCCCTTTGGTATACGGAGGGTGGTTTACTACAATGCTAAACCTGGAGAAGGGTTTCAGCATAGAAAAAATAATCGATATGTGGGATTTGATGCTACCCCGTACGATCCTAGGCCCTACTGAGGAAGCTGTGATAATTATATTTTTATATGCCATAAAAGTGAGGATTTTGTTTGTACTCAGTGACAGTTGACAAATGTATCAATTTGTCAGCTGTCAATCGATTTAACTTTATACAGGGCGTACAACCTGTAAATTGTATAATTCTCGAAAAAAATATTTAATTTTAAGGTGCCATATGAAACATGGATTTGGGGGTTGGTTTTCTAAAAGTAGTGGGCTAGGTCTAGTCTTCTATGGGTAGAGAAAAATCAAAATTGCATTGTTTTTGCACTGATTGAAATCAATTATTTATATTGGTCTGCAACTTAGTTGTAAATAATAGATTCAATTATCTTAGATCTGGGTTTAGTTATCTTTAGATAAACTTACTGGTAGCTATCTGCTAAATAAATTCTATGGCGTTTTCATCCATTAGATTGCTTACCTGACAGTTTCTCGGAAGGTGAATAAATCGGCCTTTAGAATGAGTGATAAAAGTCGTCCTAATAATACATTATCCTCAAAATTCACACTATCGTTAGCTTTAATTTTTAGTACACTTTATTAATATATTTTCTTGTAAATAGTAGATTAATTAACTTATAAATAAAATCAATAAATATATTTGTGTAATTCTTTATTACCTACCTATAAACTTTACATAAATTATAAATAAGTGGCTCGTGGCTCTATCTATAGTTACCAGTAAAAAGATCAGAAATCAATTGCAGAAATCTGCTTGTTGACTGGTACTCAATGGGAACTTCTAACATGTAGTTGCTCAAGGAAAATATAGATGTCTCCTTTAGCATTATAAACGAGACAAGCGACATCTGTTGATAAACTAAGAAGACAAGAATTAGTACCATATTTGGCTACTATTCGATAAAAGAAATCCTCATAAGTACTGTACCTATACTTTTGGGCTATGAAATTAATGTACCTAGATGGCGCTCAGTTCTAATAAAAAAAAGGGTTCCAGGTTCAAAATTGAATAGTTTTTGAGCAATTGAACCTCAAAGTTGACTTTTAGTCCAAATTTTGTCAAAAACTTCAAGCTCAATTTGCTCAAAAACTATAAATCTGAAAATATTGTAAATTACAGGCCATTTAGAGCTTAATAGGAGCTTCAAATACTGGAAATTTCAATGCAATTTGCTCAACGGTTACCGGGTAATCGAGGTTTGAAAATTTTGAAATAAAAATTCAAAGGGGATACCCTTATGAAAAATTTGATTTTTTTATTTTTCAGTTTTGCTCAATTTTGACTTTATTAATCGATAGAGCGGGTCAAAATTAGTGGAAAACAACCCTGACATCATTTCTAAATTGCCATTTTTAGCAGAAACAAAACTAAAAAGGAAATCCTATTTTTGGCTCTGGAAAATTTTCAAAATCTTGACATGGTCATGAGCAATTGCCCATATCTTTGTTAGATTTCGAGCAAATTGAAATAAAATATATATCATTGAAAAGAGCATTAAATTCTCTATAAATCAGTGGAAAATTGAGTTCGATAGCTTGGATATTTTTTGAGTAATTGACCCTCAAAGTTGACTTTCAGTCCAAATTTTAGCAAAAACTTCAAACTCAATTTGCTCAAAAACTATAAATCTGAAAATATTGTAAATTATAGGCCATTTAGAGCTTAATAGGAGCCTCAAATACTGAAAATTTCGATGCAATTTGCTCAACGGTTACCGAGTAATCAAGGTTTGAAAATTTTGAAATAAAAATTCAAAGGGGATACCCTTATGAAAAACTCGATTTTTTTATTTTTCAGTTTTGCTCCATTTTCACTTTATTATTCAATAGAGCGGGTCAAAATTAGTAGAAAACCACCCTGACATAATTTCTAAATTGTCATTTTTAGCACAAACAAAATTACAAAGGAAATCTTATTTTTGGCTCTGAAAAATTTTCAAAATCTTGACATGGTCATGAGCAATTGCCCATATCTTTCTTAGATTATGAGCAAATTGAAATAAAATATATATCATTGAAAAGAGCATTAAATTCTCTATAAATCCGTGTAAAATTGAGTTCAATAGCTTGGATAGTTTTTGAGCAATTGACCCTCAAAGTTGACATTTAGTCCAAACTTTGTCGAAAAACTTCAAACTGAATTTGCTCAAAAACTATAAGTCTGGGAATATTGTAAAATACAGGCTATTTAGAGCCTAACAAGAGCTACAAATGCTGAAAATGTCAATACAATTTGCTCAATAGTTACCGAGCAATTGAGGTTAGAATATTTTGAAATTAGAATTCAAAGGGGGTACCCTTTCAGGAATATTTAAGGAATGTTCGTAGAATGTCCCATCAAGACAAAAATATTACAATATATTTTTGAAATAATTCGTTTATTTTAGGAATGTTTTTAAAATGTTTCAAAAATGTTCCAGAAATGTTTCAACATTTTTTTTTTTTTTTTGAAAAATTTGCAATGCATTATTTTAGAAATGTCTATAAAATGTTTCAAGAATGTTTATAGAATGTTTCAGGAATGTTTCAACATGTTTTTTTGTTGGAAAATTTGTGAAGAATATTCAGGGAATGTTTATAAATTGTTCTGGAAATGTTCGTAAAATGTTTCAGGAATATTCATAGGAATTTTTTGATATTTCATGAGAATTTCGTGAATTTTACAAGAATTTTTCAGAATTTCACTGAAATTCTTATTAGGTATAGAATGTTCCAGGAATGTTTATAGAATGTTTATAAATTACACACCAGAATTCCCTAAAAAATTTTCGGAATTCCACTAAATAATTTCACAAGAATTTACGGAAATTTTTGCGATTTTTTCTTTCAATTTTACGAGAATTCCAAGTGATACCATAGAAATTGCTTTAAAATTCCGCTGAAATTACCAGTACTAGGGAATTTTTTTTTTGAATTTTACAAGGATTCTATGTTATTCTACAGGATTTTTATTTGAAATTTAGCGAAAATTCCACGTAATTTTACGTAAATATTTTGGAATTTCATGGGAATTTTCTGGAATTTTACGAGAATAACACAATGTTATGAATTTCCGCATAATTTCAGCAGAAGTTTGCATAGTTTTTATAGAATATTGCATATTTTTATAGAATTCCGCAGAGATTCTTTGGACTTTTGCATAGTTTCTATGAAATTTCGCATAATTTTTATAGAATTCCATACAACTTGAATCCACATAATTTTTGTGGGATTTTGATTTTTTTGAAACTCAACGCTTTTTTTGAGAATTCTATGTCGTTTTCCATTTAATTTCCCTAGAATTCCGCATAATTTTAATGGGATTTGGCATATTTTTAATGAAATTCTGCATACCTTTAAAATTAGGCATCATTTCTATGATATTTAGCATAATTTCAATGGAATTCCTCATAGTTTCTACGGGATTTCGCATAATTTTTATGGAATTTTGCATAATTTTTATGTAATTCCACATAATTTCAGTAGTACAGCAACACGGGTTTCACTATCAAAATTCAACCATAACCTCAATCTTTCATTCTTGACACGTGGTGGATGCGCCATCCTTGACACGAAGGTGGATGCGTCAGCACCATCTTGTCAAACGTCATCTGTCAAACGTCATTGCGCTATCTCTCGAGAGTGCAGTGAATTCTTGCAATTGACCGACAAGGGTTCGAAATTACAGGTTCCTGTAATATGGAGTATGCGGGGAAAGGATTGTTCTATCTCGTTTCGAAATTGCTACGCATGTTTAATTATGGTTCGGGTTCTGTGATGACGTCATAGCGACCTGGGTCACGTTCGTGGCGCCATCTAGAGTACATAGTGCGAAGTTCGATTTATGGTTCGGGTTCTATGATGACGTCACAGCGACCTGGGTCACGTGGGTTACGTCAGTGTTGGTGCGTAGCGCCATCTAGAGTACATAGTGCGAAGTTCGATTTATGGTTTGGGTTCTGTGATGATGTCATAGCTACCTGGGTCACGTGTGTTACGTCAGTGTGGGTCAATGGCGCCATCTAGTGTATATATTGTAAAGTTAGATTCATGGTTCGGGTTCTGTGATGACGTCATAGCGACCTGGGTCACGTGTGTTACGTCAGTGTGGGTCAATGGCGCCATCTAGCGTACATAGTGTCAAGTTCGATGTGTCTTATAACAAGATGCTGTGGTGGTGACGTAAGTATGAGAGTCCAGCAGCTGCTAGCTTAATGTTGTACCTGGTAGAGGGTATTGGAACTCAAGGATGATACACACCTACAGGATTGCTTATTGACTTCGTGTGTCACCATTTACGATGTCATAACTAAGTCATCAACTGTTTAAACAGCCTACGTCAAGGCGAGAAATAACATGCTGCTTAAGTCACAACTGGTGATTTGACGTTGGAGAGAGGGTGGATTTGTTCCACACAGGCCTTATGAGAATAGGCTATCCTGTAGTAGTAGTACGAATTATCCTTGGTTGGAACCGACCGACGTTTGATGGGGAAGGGGCCTCATTTTTTTATTAAAAACATTCCTTTCTGAGAGACAGGTCTGTCTATAGAGACAGCTCTTCGAGACAGGTCTGTCTATAGAGACAGCTCTTCGAGACAGGTCTGTCTATAGAGACAGCTTTGTCTGTCTCGAAAAATGTATGCCGACGCATCCACCTTCGTGTCAAGGATGGAGCATCAACCACGTGTCAAGAATGAAAGATTGAGGTTATGGTTGGATTTTGATAGTGAAACCCGTGTTGCTGTACTACTAATTTCTATATAATTTTGCAAAATTCCTATAGGATTCCATGGTAATTTGTCTAAAATTATTTTTTTTTTTAATTCTATGTCATTACTCCTTTAATTTCACTTGAATTCCATATAATTTTGATGGAAATTAGCATACCTATTTCTACATATTCTATGTAATTTCAATGGAATTTCGCGTAAATTTTAGGGAATTTCGCATAATTTCTATGTAATTTTGCTAAAATTTAATATATTTTTTTTTGAAATTTGTCGTCCAAATGTGTTTAATATATGTATATTTGGAATCAGGAAGAAAAGATCTTTCAATTTATCACAAAATATACAGGGTGTTCTATTAAAAAAAAGTCGAAGTTTTCTACGTTTCTCCATTTTCCAATGTGATTTTGTTTTTTCTGATAACGTTAAAAGAAAATATAGAAAAAAAACTGTCAAGTTTTGTATTTAATTTTTTTTTTGTATCTTAAATAGTTAAAGGCTGGTGGTACCTATGGGTGGTTCAAATATAATCACAAATACCCTGTACAAGCACTTTTACTGTTATATGAGAACGTAATGCCCTCAAGGGCTGACTAAAACGAAAATTAACAACTATGGTACTGCCGAAATTGTAGTACCCAATCAAAAAAAAAACTCAATTGTCCGGCTACCGGAAAAACGGTCCTAAATAATAACGCTGATTTGTAAATTACAAGGTAACGAAACTGCTATCTTTTCGTGAATTAATCGAGACCTTCATTAACTGGAGGGCTTTTTATTAATAAACTGGCCTAATGAAAGACCGATTTCGATCGGATTTGTAATGAGAATCTGCCTTCGAGGCATATACCAATAATTTCCATGTTGTTAAAAGGAAACTACTGAACTCAACTCAATTTTAAGTTAATAATAAACTTTTAAGACAAATAAA